ACAGCAAGTGGTGGGGGATGATTCAATGAACTGTCAGTGGATTCAGGTCCAAGCATGGAGAGAGCCTATCAGTTTTCTTTCACACACATGCCTCTCTCTCAATCTTTCTAACAACCCTTCATTTAGCCCATAAGTCTAATATGTGTATGTAGTGAGCTCTCTCTCTCTCTCTCTCTCTCTCTCTCTCTCTCTCTCTCTCTCTCTCCTCCCCTCCCCTCCCCTCCCCTCCCCTCCCTGCACCCTTAACATCTCTGAAGACATGGCAGTGGTGTGTGAACACCTGTTCTAAGGAAGGATTTGGCTGATATGGGATAGAGGGAATGCTCTCTCAACCATTACCATAGTTTCCTATATATGAATGCAGCAGCACCTCGCTGGGCTGTAAAGCTTCCCTCATACAAATGCTTTTTCTTCAAACATAGGACAGTACAGTCAAACCTTGGAATTCAAATTTAATCCATCCTGGAAGGACTTTTGACTTCTAAAACGTTCGATTTCCAAGGCGTGGCTTCCGATTGCCTCTTTCAATACCAGTTTGAAAACCGGAACACTTATTTCCGGGTTTTCGACATTTTGGAGCTGAAACATTTGGCAACGGAGATGACCTGAAACCAATCTTTGAATGGAATGGGATATCATTGGACTGCAAAGCTTCCCTCATACAAATGCTTTCTGCTCAAACACAGGGCAGTACCTACTCAAGGAAGGACACCACTATCATTTCCCTTTTCTATAGGGCCTACTGTCATTTGCAGCAGCACAATATGTGGGGAATTATCTAGGATACTATCATATCAGTGCCATCTCCTACTCTGTCTGCAGAATTATAAATTCAGTTCTGGGTTCTTCTTCCTAATACACCTGCTCAAACGTTTGAACTCTGAGAGGAAAGAACAAGTTCATAGGCTTTTGGGAACGCAAAAAGTGTCAGGAAGTAACAGGGCTTTGCCAATTGAGAATATTCAGCCTTTACCTGCCAAGACTGTTGATTCAGATTCTTCCCTCTCCCTCCGTACGCCATTCCTCTATGTCTGAATCTGGAAGTGGACATGGCATGTAAAGCATGGGCCATGGCATAGACAGCGCTGTGGATGCTATAACTATGGCTTGTCATGCTCACTTCAAAAAATGATCCAGGAAGGATCTCCAGCTTCTCTTCTCCAGTGCAAATATTGCCCTCTGCTTTGTCTGCAGTGATATCTGGGAGTACACATTCAAAGGCTTGTTGCCAGAAGTCCCTGATAAAACCGTCCCCATCTGTGCTGAAAGGGTTTCTGTGCACAACATACTGATGAAATCCTGGTGGGTTTCTGAAGTGAATTTCAAAGGATATAGCACCATTGAATACTCCTGAATCCCAGTTCCTTTGAAAGACAAATGAAGTGAACTCAACCTGGGCTGTTGTTATCCATACTTTACTTTTTACTTTCTTTGTCATGTCATCATGTTCTGATAGGTATGAAAGCCATCTAAAAGTTGCCATGGAATAAGATTCTCCAGAGGCAACGACTACGTTAGCTTTGCTGCTAAAAATTTGATCTTGTATATGGGCTGCTTGTTGTAGCATGCCATACATTTCAGAAATAAAACTAAAATTGGGGATTCTTTCTATGAATGCAAAACAGACACCACTCTTGGTAAACATTGGGGAAATGGTTTGCACAAATCTTTCTCCATTTTCATTGTCCGTTGCAATGACTCCAATCCACGTCCACCTGAAATGCAGAAGCAAAGAGAGAATTCCTTCATACTGAAGGGCTTCTGAGGCTGCCATCTGGTAGAAGGGAAGCCCTGGGCTTTTATCATTCATCACTGGAGCAGAGCCATAAATGAGCTAAAGAGGCAATGGAGGAAGAGAAGAGGCAAAGTAATATTTGCAGAGTTCGTTCAAACTATTCATATACATCATGTGATGAATCCTGTTAGTCAGATATGCCTTTTGCCATCCACCAGGTGTTGCATTCCTTTCTCATTTATACACATGCAAATGGCCTAAAATTGGGACCATCTCCTATGCCTGCTGGTTAAATATTTGTTCTGTTGACGGGGGGGGGGCATTGTTGCTTTTTTAAAACAACAACAACAACAAAAATTTATGCATACTTGCAGGGTCTTGTACGATATATAAAACTGATTGGAGGGACACACCATGCCCTAAACAGATGATTGCCTAACAGTGCATTAGACATTATTTACCGTAGTCATGTCAGAATTGTGACACGGGTCGGATACACATTCCTTCTCTGAAGCTTCTTTTGTCTTCACAATGCACATACCCCAACTGCCACAACTTCCATTTCTGCCTTTTCCTTTTCAAGGCTTTTCAGACTTCACTTATGAACATTTATTTCACATTGGAACCAGCTGTTCAGTACTATTACTGTTCTCCTGCAGAATTGAACTGTAGAGTGGTACCGTGGGTTAAGTACTTAATTCATTCCGGAGGTCCGTACTTAACCTGAAACTGTTCTTAACCTGAAGCACCACTTTAGCTAATGGGGCCTCCTGCTGCTGCTGCACCGCCGGAGCACGATTTCTGTTTTCATCCTGAAGCAAAGTTCTTAACCTGAAGCACTATTTTTGGGTTTCTGGAGTCTGTAACCTGAAGTGCATATAACCTGAAGCATATGAAACCTGAGGTACCACTGTATCTGCAATTTGCCATACTTCCAGAGTGTGTTTAATTTGAAAACCCTTTCCCCCTAAACATTCAGTGTTCTTTGGGATATCAGTGTCCTTGAGGTGTGTTTAAGAGATTGGGGGTGTGACAGTTTTTTTTTGGTATTGCAGCCTTTCTTTCCCCTTATTAAGGTCATTTTATTTTATTTTATTTTAATTTATTAATTCTCTTCCACCTTTATTTTTCAAGGATCTCAAAGTGGTGTACATAGTTCTGCCCCAATTTCATCCTCAGACTGAACTCGTGATGCTCCCTGAACTTGTGCTGTTAATTCAGGCTCTTTCTCTATGCAAGCTAATAGAGGTATTGTACATAGGTGTCCTACCTGCGGGCTCTTATAGATATCCAAAACAGTTGCCACATAAAAAGAGATTTCAGAATCCAGTCCTCCAATGACCCCAGCCAGATTATTTTCAACATCACATATATAGTTAGGAACAAATTTCTCCACCCTGGATAAAAGCAGCAGTGTGGCAAGATATGTGTTCCTTGCATTGTTATAGCTGTCATACAAGTGAAAGCCCAAGGTGATATTGGGTAAGATGTGAGGGTCTTCATTGATCTCCTTGACTGCAAAGGCCAAGGCCACAATGTGCTGGTAAAGCTTAGGCACCACCCTAGAACGAGAGTTGCAAATGGCATCAGAAGGAACATATACCGGTATATCATTTTGCATACCTTAGGCACCACCCTAGAATGAGAGTTGTAAACAATATCAGAAGGAACTGATATATAATTTTACATATCAACACAATACTTAATCTTCCTGGTGACAGCCCTTGAGATACAGTGGTACCTCAGGTTAATAACTTAATTTGTCCTGGAGGTCTGTTCTTAACCTGAAACTGTTCTTAAACTGAGGTACCACTTTAGCTAATGGGGCCTCCCACTGCTGCCACGGCTCTCTCCTGCAATGACCCCTTTCCTATTCATGAAGCAGTGATGGTTGTTGTAATTCACAGAATTCTATGCTTCATAATATATACCATCATTGTGAAAGAAACTTTAGCCTAAGATCAGAAAATGAAACGATATGAGCATTCAGGTTCAGAACAGGTTCTTTTAATTCATTCTCACTAACACTCCTGTTCAGATAAAGTCTATCAAAACTGGCTTTTCAAAAGGGTTATCCCTCTCTCTCTCTCTCTCTCTCTCTCTCTCTCTCTCTCTCTCACACACACACACATGCATACATTTCAATACATTTATATTCATTTCCCTATTGAGAAATGGGAGCTTCAACAGGATTCTCTTAATTCACAAGAGATTCCTATGGAGTTTTGCATCAGCATATGTCCCACTGAAATCAAAAGTGGTTATCTCAAGGTAAATGGGTATAAGTTTGCAGCCTCAGTCATTATTCTGAGGCTGAAGCTCTTGGTTTGATCATTCCTCTGCTGTAATGAATGACTGACTTAGTTCTCACACAAGCTCTTCAGGCAGTGCTGGTGGGGGTTCCTCAGTGAATTTTGCTGGAGAGGAGATGAAACCACCATGGGAAACAATGCCACCAATGAGGAGCTCTCCTGGCTGATGATACATGTGAAGTGGATGGTGTGGATCTTGAAGCCTGCATTTTGCTATGTGAGCCTGACATACTTTGTGTGAAAACAGTTCCAGAAGCAAGACCACTAAAACTACCATTCTCAATACAAAGGCAACTGTTCTATGCAGAAACCACGTTTTCTCTTTTCTGAGTTAAAATTGTCTAGTTTAAATGGTAGTTTATTTTCCCAAAATGATGCAATCTGGGAGTATCCAAAATCAGACTCAAATTATAGCCCTGTTAATCATCAAGAAGCAATGTAATTATTCATCCAGTGCTAAAAATTCCCTCTGGAATTGCTGAAGAAAATGTATTTGTCACATACTCAGAAGTGCAATTTTAAATTTCCTTTCATTAGATAAAAATGGACCAGTAGTGTATTGGTGAAGTTAGAAGTAAGAAATAGAAGACCTTGTAAATAATGGAGTTTCCAAAATATGTAGTCAGCTCTCTCAGTCTAGGATACATGAGGTACTGTGGTACCTTGGTTCCCAAATGCCTCTGTTGTTGACTGTTTCAGCTCTCGAATGCCGAAAACCCAGAAGTAATTTTTTCCATTATTGAATGTACCTCAGAAGTCTAATGTCTGACGCGGCTTCCGTTGAGTGCTAGAAGCTCTTGTAAGCAATTGGAAGCCACACCTTGGTTGTCTAGTGTATTGGAAGTCAAAGGTCTTCCAGAATGGATTACATTCGACAACCGAGGTACCACTGTAATTTGTCAGGGCTGTTCTGCTGGCTTTGGAGAACAGTTTTGTTGGCTTAAGGAATTCTGAGATGAAGAAAAATGAATTCAAGGAGATTTAGTCCAGTTATGATTTGCTACATCAAATAGACTTATTTATGCTTTAACTCTTTCTTATAATAAGCTGTCCTCTGCTGTTTAACTCTGGCCTCAGCAAAATGATATAACATTTGGGGAAGAAGATGCAGCCCAGTAACCCAAAACTAGAGGCCAAAATAGAAAAGATCTCCACAGCCACCATGTACTTTCCCTTGGTACTCAGGTAGGTTGGAACAAAGGACAGCCACACAATGCAAAAAACCAACATGCTGAAGGTGATGAACTTGGCTTCATTAAAACTGTCTGGTAACTTCCTGGCTAGGAAAGCCACAGTGAAGCTGACAATAGCTAGCAAGCCCATGAAGCCCAAGACACTGTAGAACATGGTGACTGACCCTTCATTACATTCCAAAACAATTTCTTTAGTCACAGAGTGCATATCCAAATCTGGGAATGGGGGAGACGTTGCCAGCCACACACTACAAATAATGGCTTGAATCAGGGAGCAGAAAAGAACAATGGAGGTAGCCTGTTGTTTCCCCACCCATCTCCTCATTCTGGAGCCTGGCTTGGTAGCCATGAAAGCTAGAACCACTATAGTTGTTTTTGCTAAGATGCAAGACACTGCTACTGAGAAGATGACTCCAAAAGCAGTTTGTTGAAGGAGACAGGTTATTTTTGTGGGCTGGCCAATGAATAGCAAAGGACAAAGGAAGGAGAGAACGAGGGCTAGGAGGAGAACATAGGTGAGGGTCTGATTGTTGGCTTTGACTATGGGAGTGTCTTTGTGCTTGATGAAGATCCTAAGCACCAAAGCTGTAGTGAAAGTCAATAAAAGAGCAAGCGTGACCAAACTGATCCCCAGAGGTTCATCGTAAAACAGGAAGCTTATGTCTTTTGGAAGACATATAACCTGGCCAAGGTTTGGGTACTGATCTTCTGGACATTGAAAACAGTCATCCATGTCTAAAAAAACAACAACAAAAACAAAGAATATGTTTACTGCAGACTTTTGGAGTTCATTGGTGGTAGGGGGAAAGGCTCCCACAGCCTTTTGTTTTATATCCCACTTCTTTACTCGACTCTTCAAAGCAGTCACAACATTTAGAAAACACAGCAGATCACAAAGCAAAATAACCAGCCTCTTGAACCAGGCAGCAGCAGGCACCAGGTGTTTGTTTCTTCAGTTAGCCCTGTCTTTAGCCAACTGAACTAGGCCCTGATGTGGTCTTTGATTGCCTCTCTTGTTCTGTCCTTTCTTCCCAAAAGGCAAGTGTCTGTTGGCTCATGTTGACTAGGCCACATTGCTCCCCTCACATCTGACCATCTCTGATTCAGTGTCATATTTGTGGAATTATGCAAATAGCTGCACACTTCATAAACTACTTCAGTATTTTGGTGGAATACAACTAAATTTCAGCAGGCTACAGTCCCTCCAAGTGTTCCTATTTTCCATGGATGTCCCCGCTTTACAGAAGCCATCTGTCAGGGTGCCCTCAGAGCACTCTGACATAAGCTACACCCGTGAGACTGAGCTGTATGAGAGGCAGGAGGATGGGATTGAAGATGGAGTTTCTGAAGCGGAAGGAGGCAATGGAGTGAGCAGGGGTTATTGGTATTCCCAGCCCATGCAGGGGGAGGAGGACTTGGTCTGGGAGGGAACGCAGGAAGAAGAGACACAGGAGAGAGAACAGGCAGATTCATAGGCGTTGCAAGGGTTAAGTTCAGGGTCAGAGGCAGAGCAGATGCATGAATCTCTGCGCTCAAGGCATCTTGGGAGACTTTGGGAACGCAGGGAAAATGTCATAAAGATCCCACGCTTTCTGTGTTTTAGACGGAAGAGGAAGTCAGTGCTCCCAACTGACAGCTCCGAGGAAGACTGATTTACGCGGGCTCCCACCCGGGTTGTATAAACAGCAATAAATAAGGACCATAAAACCATCACAGTCTCAAGGCTTCTCTGTGTGTAGAGAGATCAATTTACACATCCCTAACACCATCCTGGTTTCTGATTTGATCCCAGAATGCCCCACTTTCCCTTAGGACGTCCTGATTTTCATAGGAGAAATGTTGGAGGGTATGGTGGGATGTCCCTATTTTCATCAGAGAAATGTTGTAGGGTGTGGAGTTATCTGACCCCCCCCAAGCCTTCTGTATAGGGAAGGTTTTTTTTAATGTCTAATGTTTTATCATGCTTTATATATGTTAGAAGCCACCCAGGGTGGCAACCCAATCAGATGGATGGGGTATAAATAGTAAAGTTATTGTTGTTGTTTAGCCGTTTAGTCGTGTCCGACTCTTCGTGACCCCATGGACCAGAGCACGCCAGGCACTTCTGTCCTCCACTGCCTCCCGCAGTTTGATCAAACTCATGCTGGTAGCTTCAAGAACACCATCCAACCATCTCATCCTCTGTCGTCCCCTTTTCCTTGTGCCCTCCATCTTTCCCAACATCAGGGTCTTTTCCAGGGAGTCTTCTCTTCTCATGAGGTGGCCAAAGTATTGGAGCCTCAGCTTCAGGATCTGTCCTTCCAGTGAGCACTCAGGGCTGATTTCCTTCAGAATGGAGAGGTTTGATCTTCTTGCAGTCCATGGGACTCTCAAGAGTCTCCTCCAGCACCATAATTCAAAAGCGTCAATAATTCAAAAGCATCAAGTTAATAATAAAGTTATTATTATTACTATTATGGTATAGGACATCCCTATTTTGATCAGAGAAATGTTGGAGGGTATGAGACTAGAACTGGTGTTTCTACACTTTCTGAACTGCAGCTGTTACTGCAGCTGTTATGATGAAGGTGATCAGTGAAATAGAGGAGAGATTTTGACAAGAAAGTTCTGGCTCATGGTTTAAGCAGATCGGAAAGCGTGTTTTGATGACAGAAAGGGCTCTGTTTGCTTGGTAAGGCTTTAGCTGAGCTGAGAGCATATACAGATTAAATAAAACACAAAATTCATTAGTAGCCCAGAGTGGCCCTCTTGAACATTTATATACCCTAGGGAGGGTCAAAATCATCTTTGAAATAGGTGGCATACATACATCTATATATAACATTTAAAAACCTTTCTTACCTTCCTGGTTGGAAATCTTTCCTTCTGGACATGTAAAGCAATCATAGCAACAAAATGGCTTCCCTTCCTTCTTGGTTCGACTGTAACCTGAACTGCAATGATCATTGCATATAGAAATGGGCCGGGTCTGTCCATAAATATCAGAATAGAATGTTTTAGGTAATATCATGAACACTAGAGAGTATTACGAATGCAGTACAGTGGTACCTCAGGTTAAGAACTTAATTCGTTCTGGATGTCCGTTTTTAACCTGAAACTGTTCTTAAGCTGAGGTACCACTTTAGCTAATGGGGCCTCCCGCTGCCGTTGCACCACTAGAGCACAATTTCTGTTCTCATCCTGAAGCAAAGTTCTTAACCCGAGGTACTATTTCTGGGTTAGCGGAGTCTGTAAACTGAAGCATCTGTAACTTGAAGCTTCTGTAAGCCAAGGTACCACTGTACCCACAAGTTGAATGTAAGTAGCGAGTTCTCTCTCTCTCCCCCTCTCTCCCTCTCTCTCCCCCGCCTCTCTCTCCCCCTCCATCTCTCTCCCCCCCTCTCTGTATGTATCTGTGTAGATAAAAAGGTAAAGGTAAATGACCCCTGGATGGTTAAATCCAGTCAAAGGTGACTATGGGGTGTGGTGCTCATCTCTCTTCAGGCCAAGGGAGTCGCCGCTTGTCCACAGACAGCTTTCCGGGCAATGTGTATGTATTTAATGTATTATTATTATTATTATTATTATTATTATTATTATTATTATTATTGTATTATTATTATTTGGCCTACATGACTAAACCGCTTCTGGTGCAACGTAACACCATGACAGAAGCCAGAACGCACAAAAATGCTGTTTACCTTCCCACCACAGGGGTAACTATTTATCTACTTGCACTGGTATGCTTTCAAACTGCTAGGTTGGCAGAAGCTGGGACAGAGCAATGGGAGCTCACCCGTTGCACAGATTTGAACGGCTGATGTTTTGATCGCCAAGCCCAAGAGTTTCAGTGGTTTAGACCACAGCACCACCCGCTTCAATCAGCTGACAGTAGTGTTCAATGTGGAGAGATATTGATACTTACCTATCCTGCCACCACATGCTTAACGAATGAAAAGGGGTTTTAGCAAAAAACAAAGAAAGGTGAAGGAGCATGCTTAATATTAATCAGGAGTGGGTTCTAGAGTGTTGGTGCTACCGCTCTGAATGAATGATTCCTTGTAATTGCAGAAGGAACATTAAGTGGCACATGAAAGTTCAGATTGAACAAGTCTCACTATATTTACAGAATACTGAGAAACAGCCATTTGAGTAACTATCTTCTTCCTGACCATTGGGCAGGTGATGGAATGAACCCTGAAAAGTGCAGAGAACCCACCTGGTTAAATTGGTTGGGCCATACAATGGCATCCTCATGAATGGTGAACAATTTTTCCTGGGTACCCAGAGAGTCTATCTTCCCAATTTTGACTCTAAGAAAGGACTGATTTGGAAACATGAGCCAGTTTATAATGTCAAAGCCAGCAATTAATTCATTTGCGTCAAAACGCACCTTTTCTCCTGCACTGTTGTTAAACGAAATACTTCTGAGAATGTGATGGAGCTAAATAATAAAAATAAGAAAGGTTTATATAAATGCTCTTATTATGTTATCATACAACACGGTGAAAATACATCCAAGGCTCAGGATTATGATCCCATGAAATCTTTGTGCAAGCTAATGTTAGAAACAGCAAAAGGTCACTTAAAATCCCAAACCATGGAATATTGGCCACATCTGCACCACTACTTTAACTTTCACTGTTTTGTGTTACACTAAAGAACTTTCTGCATTATAGGCCTATCAATAGAGGTTAAGATTTTTCCATCAAGAGACCTCTACTATCTTTAAAGTCCCACAATCCCCATGGTTTAAGTCTGTGGTATGGATGTATCTATTGTGGAGTGAGATATCACGACTGCCAACAATATGGTTGGCAGCCCTGTTGCTGCTTCTGGTATTTTCAAAACTGCAAGGAAAGGGGCAGTGATACCCTCTTCTGCTTCTCCAGTAAGGCACCTGGGGAAGGGCTTTGGCTCACTGGTGACTCATGCTTTAAATGCAGAAGGTTCCAGGTTCAATCCCCAACAGCTCCATGTAGGGCTGGGAAAGGCTTTTGCCTGAAACACTGGGGAGTTGCTGCCAGTGTTCTCTACATGGTATAAAGCAGCATTCTACGCAATGTGAGACACTCTGAAGAAATCTTTGATACCCTAGCCCCAACTTGGTCATTTATTTTGTTTTGCTTTAAAAACGCTGCACCTGCTACCTTGATTGTGAAGGGATGGAAAGAAATTATTTTACAAACTGAGAGGAGTTCTGTTAATCTCTGCTGTGGAGGCAAAATAAAAGGCTTGAAGTATGGTAAAGTTATTCTATGAGATTAACTTTCTTGTTAATTTCATGGAAGGTTGATAAAGCTTGACCATCATTTTTGCACCAAAAGATACGTAGGTACCTTCAGCTTTCATCTGACCAAGACATTACCTGCCATGGTTGTGGATTTGGAAGCTCCCATCTTACTCCCTCTGCCATTCCTCTGTGCTTGAATTGGGATGAATGTCTGATGTGCAAAGCATGTGCCACCACATAGACTGCATTGTAGATGGTGTAGCTATGGGCAGTCATTCTCATTTCAAAAACAGACACGGGGAGTGTCTCCATCTTCTCCACCCCTGTGCAAATTTGCCCACCTATATTATCTGCCACTGAACTGGGGAATGAACAGTTAAATGACTCTTCCCAGAAGTCCTTGATAAAACCATCTTCTTTTTCTGTGCTTGGGTTCTTGATCTGAAGGAACTTCTGGAAAGCTAACAGATCCACTGAGTGAATGGCAAGGGAAAGAGAACCATGAAGGAAACTTATGTCCCAATATCTTTGAAATGGAAATGATGTGATATCCATCTGGGCTGTCAGGAACCAGATTTTACTTTTGGTCCTCATTGGTATATGCTCAAAGTTTAAAACCTGGGGCACCATTTTCAATGCCATCATGGAATGAATTTCTCCATGTACAACCACAACATTGGTAGTGCTCCCCATAATAACACTGATAGCGTGAAAGCCCTCCCCCACCATGTCTGTGATTCCACTGGAAGATGTTAGCTTTGGGAATGTTTCTATGAAGTCAAAGCAGATGCCACTCTGGGAAAACACTGGAAGTACATTCTCTATAAAACCTTCTGTATTTTCCCTAACTTGAGAAACCACTCCAATCCACGTCCACTGGAAATGCAGCAGTAACTTGATGATTCCTCTATATTGATGGTCCCCATTTGGGAACATTTGGTAGAAGAAGACTCCTTGAGACTCTTTATTCATGAGTGGGGAAGAGCCATATATGAGCTATTTTTTAAAAAAGAAAAGAAAAAAGAAGAGTAGAGTGGTTTTCAATATAAAACAATTACTTGTGTGTAGTTTTGTTTTCTTTCTTCCATTCATTTCTGGCCGGGACTATAACGGTTAAGTAGATCCTGCAGGATTGAATTATGTGTTCAATTACTGGAGTCTACTTTCCCTGTGCATTTCATGCAAATAATACGCTGAGGAAGCAGGTCCCTGCAACTAGCAGGATTGAAACCTCAACTCACCAGAGGCTCAGCCTAGCGTATATAATTGCTTAGCTTTACCGTGTGCTTGTTACAGCCATGTGAAGACAATCTCATTCTTCCTACCAAGACCGTGCCCCAACAGCCCCAGATCACTCCTGCGGGCCAGACCGAATCTGGGAATGTTTCCACCTAATTCATCTAGTTCCACCCAATTCATCTGTTCCACCAATTCAGAATTTGGACTTTGGCTACATCTGACCCACAACCCTTACAACTCCTTATTGGTTGCTCTTTCACTGTGTATGTGCGTGTTAGGAATGGGAGGATCTGTCAATATTTCTCTTAAGTTTCTTATTTAACCACATCAATTAGATTTCTTTTTAAGCCTCATGAAAATTTCTCCTGAAAATACAAAACTTTTATGCAAATTTTGCCTAATATGCACATCTTTGCAAAGCAATATTCGCTAATACAATGCATTTTAAGTATATTTTTACTAACATGCATTTTTAATGCACACTTTACCTTAATCTATGCATTTTGGACACATTATTTGACTGGAGAACTGCTTTGCAAAATCCGGAGAAGGGGGAATTTCAAAGAATAGCTGCATTGCATGTATTGCTTCTGAAAGCGTGAGTTCAGTGAAATTCAGGTGTGAATGTATTTAGATCTTACTTGCGGTATCTTGTAGGTAGACAGGATGGGTGTCATGTGAAGACAGACATTAGAGTTAGGTCCCCCAATGACTGCTATTGGAGTGCTCTCAGCATCACATTTATAGTTAGGGATGACCTTGGCCCTTCTTGAGAGAAGCTCCATTGAGGCTTCATAGGTCCAGCTTGCACTGAAATGGCTGTTATAAATGTGGAAGCCCAGGGTGACGTTGGGCAAGATCTGGGGAGTTTCATTGATCTCCTTTACAGCAAATGCCAAGGCCAGGATGTGCTGGTAGAGGTGAGTCAGCACCCTGTATTGAGAGTTACATGTTGCATCAAGGTTCATCTGCTTCAGATCGTAACATTGATTACTTTTCAGTTCAGTATCAGTTCAGATATTGTACAAAAACAGGTTGTAAGCTCACATCTCACAGACTTGTGAAAGTAAACTGGCTCACGAATCTATGACGTCTCTTAAAAGCATCTCAAATTCCAGGACTTCTTAGAGAGTCTCTTAATATATCTACAGAAGACATAATTCAATAAGGTGTTTTTATTTATTGTGGCCTATAGGGAATCTGGATGAGGTGTTTTGTATGTTTAATATCTGCTGGTCAAAAGTTACTTGTAGTTTGCATGTTCTTCATTCACACAGGATACACATCCTAATAAGCAAATACCAATGTAGCGTTTTTGTTTGGGTTTTTCTTGGAAGGGGTAAAAAAATACATAGGGTCACAGCAGCCACTATGGAGAAATTATCTTAATGCTCCAATTTTATCTATATTCAGTGGATGTGAGCTTAATTTATAATGTAAAATATGTTTCAAGCCTGTTTTGATGCATGTGGATCTCTGTAGGCAAGACTTGACATCTGTACAAGCAGTTGTCCTGGAAGCCAATATTTTATGCTCGGTAAATGTTTTAAATTCTTCAATAAAGTTTGTGTGAAGAAAAGAGTATTGGAAATGGTGAAATTAAAACAATTTTAATTTATTTTTGTTTGTGGAATGTTTGTTCTTTTTGAAAAGCAAAGAAATAGATTAATGCAGAAAGAGGGGGAAAGAGATTTAGGAGTACATGCATGCAAAAGTGAGCAGACCAGACATATTTCATCAGCATATAATATGTTGTTTTTTTAAAAGAAACATTCAGCTACTTACATATGGTCATCTGAAAATTCCTGAGATGGGTGTTTTTCAAAGGATAGGGTATCTGAAAATATGTAGATCTGTGAAATAATGCCAGCAATGATGAGGTCTCCTGACTGATAATATTTGTGAAGAATAGGGACAGGTTCTCTGATGGAACACTGAGGAAGAGGAAGATACTTGCACATCCCCTGCAGTGGCAGTAAGATTACCAGCAACCTAAACACTACCATCTTGCAAGGGATTATTCATTTAGGAACAAGTTGACCTCTCTGTTACTGTCATTCAAGTGACTGTGAGCAGTAGAGACTAACTTGAATGGTGACCCACTTAGCTGATTCAAAGTCATACTGATGAGCCTCTGTGTATCTATAGACCCAACCATGTTCACTTCATACTTATTAATAAGAGCTTCCAGTCTTAGTTTCATCATTCTGCATGTGGGCAGAGGAGGTCCCTAGGGAAGGGGAGAAGATGTAATTCTGAATAATCTGGTAATTACAGGTGAGGTAATCACTTGCTTTGAATTACGGATTCTGTGTAATATTTTAAGGAAAACATGATTATCATATCTCATCCAAAGTATCAGGCGACTTCCTAGCTAGGAAAGCCAAAGTCAAGCTGGCAATGGCCAGGAAACCCACAAAGCTCAAAACAGAGCAAAACATGATATTTCATTGCATTCTAGCACAATTTCTTCAGTGATTGAGTGCATGTCAACATCTGGGAATGGAGGACAGGTTGCCAGCCACACAGTAATAAAACAGTCTGAACAAGGAAGCTGGAAAGAACAATAAAGGTTGCCAGTTGTTTTCCCACCCATCTCCTCATCCTAGAGCCTGGCTTGATAGCCATGAAAGCTAGAACTAATATTGTGGTTTTGGCTAACACACAGGAAACTGCCACTGAGAAGATTGCACCAAAAGTAGTTTGTCGTAGGAGACATGTCCACTTCATCTGGTTTGCCAATGAATAGCAAAGCACAAAGAAAGGAGAGGAGGAGAGAGGACAGGAGAACATAGGTGAGGTTCCGATTATTGGCTTTGACTATGGAAGTGTCCTGGTGCTTGAGGAATATTCCAGGAACCAAAGTTGTAATTAATGAGAGAAAAAAACTGCAAATGTGGTGAAAATAATCCCCAGAGCTTCATCATAAGACCGGAAGTTTATGTATTTATGGAGGCCTCTATCTTGGCCAATGTTTGGATAATGATCTTCTGAACATTTAAAACAGTCATCCATGTCTGAAATCAAATATGAAAAATAAACATAAAATGTTACTTAAGTATGGCATTCTGTTCTTGAATCAGGGTAGTGAACTTGAAATATCGAATGTTAATTTTGCTGTAAGAATAATAGGAATTTCTACCTCCTGCATAATCTGAGCTCAATAGCATCAAAGGCCTTCTTTCTCATGGGTTCCAAGCAAATCCAGAAATATAAACATTTGCAACCTGAGGTTCCACAGTATGTCTTACATAGATTAAACTGTTACAAGACTGACTAACTCTTAGGCAAACGGCAGCAGCACACAACAAACCTGCTACTCTAAATTTTAAGACTGTTCAGCTAACTGCCATAACTGCCACAGAGTGTATGACATCACAGAGTTCTACAGTTCTTGCCATTAACCCTTTACATATGTTTGTGGATGCTAACATTTCACCATTTTGAATGTTAAAGAAATTAGTTTAAGCATTTAAAACACTGATGGGAACCAGCTGGATTGCAGTCAATCTATTTATAAAATAAATGCTATCCATCTATTAAATAGGCGGCAACTGTTAAATAGAACACATCTACATATGACATTCCTTACCTTTCTGGTTTGAAATCTTCCCTTCTGGACATAGAAAGCAATCATAGCAGCAAAATGCCTTCCCTTCTTTTTTAGCTCTTCTATAACCTGGACTGCAGTGATCATTACAAATGGAAATGGGACAGCTGTCAAAATCACCAGGTCTAGAAAAAATTATATAAGACAGCTGCTGAACACGTGTTTGCAAATATTCTACTGTACACACAGAGAAAAGCACAAAATACAGAAAAGGACAGGTGTATTATTTCTTTAATTTTTCTTCCTTATTAGCTGTTCCCTGTTGTTCAGCTCAGGCCTCAGAATGATTATGTAACATTTGGGGAAGAAGATGCAAGCCAGCAACCCAACACCGGAGCCTAAGATAGAGAAGATCTCCACAGCTACCGTATATTTTCCTTTGGTGCTCAGATAGGAAGGAATAAAGGACAGCCAAACACTGCAGAAAACCAACATGCTGAAAGTGATAAACTTGGCTTCGTTGAAACTGTCTGGTAACTTCCTGGCGAGGAAAGCCACAGCAAAACATACAGTTGCCAGGCAGCTCATGTAGATGAGGACACAATAAAACATTGTTACAGACCCTTCATTACATTCTAGTATAATTTCTTCTGTCATTGAGTGCATGTCCACATCTGGGTATGGGGGAGAGGTTGCCAGCCACATAGTACATATGCCTGCTTGGACTATGGAGCAAGAAAGGAGAATGGAGTGGCCTAGTCCTTTCCCCACCCATTTCCTCATCCTGGATTCTGGTTTTGTAGCCATGAAGGCCAAAACCACAATGAAGGTTTTTGCCAGGACACAAGAAACAGCAGTTGAGAAGATGATGCCAAAAGCCATTTGTCGGAGGAGGCATGTCACCTTCTCAGGTCGGCCAATGAAGAGCAATGCACACAGGAAGCAGAGCAGGAGAGAGATGAGGAGAGTGTAGGTGAGGTTTCGGTTGTTTGCAATGACAATGGGTGTGTCATGGTGTTTTATAAATGTAACTAGTACCAGAGCAGTGATCAAGGAAAGGGAAAGAGAGCAGCAGGCTAAACTGATGCCCAAAGGTTCTTCATAAGACAAAAAGCTGATATCCTTGGGTAGACATGCATCCTGGTTCTTGCTTGGATAGTCTTTGTCTGAACATTTATTACAGTCATTCATATCTGGGGAAATAATATTAAGGAAAAGACCTTTAGCTCATATCATGTCAGCTTACTGAAATGTTTATTGTTCTATTTAATCTGAGTACTAAGTTTGGATCTATTTAATCTATTTATTTCTCCTACCATCCTGGTTTGCAATCTTCCCCTCTGCACATGGGATGCAATCGTAGCAGCAAGGTGGCTGTCCCTCCTTCACTTTCTTGCTGGATCCTGGAAGACAACGCTCAGTACAGACTGAAAGAGGCTGAGTCTAATCCATAAATGAAAGAACAGAAGGTTCATGAAGAGTCTAATGAGTTTGGAATCCTTTATGTTCTCGGGCCTTTCTCTGTTACTAATCTGACACAGCACTTCAGTAATATGTAATCACTATACAGAGAGCAATTGCTTCTTTTTGTATTATTAGTAGTAATGTTTGAAGTTATGTGATATGCCCTTGATAATGCTCTGGTATCTGCAGTACCCCATCTGTTCTGCAAAGATTGCCCTGTCCATTAAAGTACACTTTGAAGTTACTCTAGTTTCCCTGTTAATTTTGTTAATGTTGAGTATGCTGTCCACTAGGTAGACAGCTCTAGAACTGATTTTGGTGCCGGTGGCTACACCTATACTTGGACCCATCAGATGCTGCCTGGGGAAGAGTTCAGAATAAGACATCCTGTTCCTTCAGATCAGCGGCACAGCAATGGGCACCCGCATGACCCCACAGTATGCCAACATCTTCATGGCAGATTTAGAACAACGTTTCCTAAACTCCTACCCACTCAAACCTCTCTTGTACCTGCGATACATTGACGATATTTTTATCATCTGGACACATGGTCAACAGACCCTGGACACCTTTCACCAGAAATTTAATGATTTTCACCCCACAATCAACCTAACAATGAATCAATCTATGCAAGAAATACATTTTTGGACACTACTATAAAAATACAGGATGGGCGCATAGACACCACCTTATACCGTAAACCAACTGACCGACAAACATATCTACATGCCTCTAGCTACCATCCCAAACATCCCAAACAGTCCATTGTATATAGCCAGGCACTACGTTACAGCCGTATCTGTTCCAATTCTACAGACAGAGACTCTCACCTAAGAGATCTACAGCAAACCTTTTTAGAACTAAAATACCCAGCAGATGAAGTTAGACAACAGATCAACAGAGCCAGGCTGATACCCAGAGAGAACTTGCTGCAAGACAGACCCAAAAAAGAAAATAACAGAACACCTCTAGTCATCACATACAGCTCCCAAGTTAAAACAGTACAACGCATCATCAGAGACCTACAACCTCTCCTGGACAATGACAGTTCTCTTTCTCAAGCTCTGGGAGGAAGACCTTTCATTGCCTACAGACAGCCACCCAATCTTAAACAACTCCTAACCCACAATAATACTACAACCAGACTTAACACGGACACTGGCACCAGAGCCTGCAATAAACCCAGATGCCAACTTTGCTGCCACATACACCCGGACCCATCAGATGCTGCCTGGGGAAGAGTTCAGAATAAGACATCCAGAGTGGCTGGGAAAACATACTCAGGTTGTGGAGTATTATTATTATTATTATTATTATTATTATTATTATTATTATTATGCAATCTTTGTAAATTCCAATACAAAAATATTCTGGACAAATACATGAATTAGAATGAAGCTATCTAAGACCTATGACACTCCCTGGAATGCTGCAAAACTTTTCTCAGCAAGCTATAAACAAAATATACCTCTAAAAATATTTTGAGATCACTCTTTTAAAAAGTTTGATGCCTACATTCCTAATCCTCTGTCTCTTGCTCTTCACACCTTTCTTCTTCTTTCCTTCCTTCACTCTCTTAATCTTCACTACTTCTCCTGCTTCCATCTCTTCCACTGGCCCCTCCTTAGAAGACTAGTGGTCTCCTGCATCTGCTGCTGTCCTTGATTTCTTCCTTTAGTATTATTATGCCTCCTTTCCCCAACCACCTCATTTCCCCACCTTTCTAGCAAGAAAGACAAAACTCTGGGGCTATTCAATTCTTACATCATCTTTCAATACTTATTAAATCAGTATTTAATAAGTGTAAAGAAATCCCAATTGCTTTTGTTTAATTTACAATAGTTTTCTTTTTTACTTAGGATTGTGGTTGAAGTCTTCCAACGGAAAATAATAATCCATTTCATTAGTCCAACTCACCACTTGTCTGCAATGTTAGATGTAAGGTTGCTTCAAGATCATAATGACTGTGAAGAAATCCACTTTGTAGCTTCATGGTCTCTAAGCATGTATACACTCTTGTGCTGAGGAAATGTACCCAGAGGCTCTATTTGACTGAAAGAAAACCTGCCCTCCCGTCTCCAGGCCTTTCCATAGAAAATATTTGATCTGAACCTAATGACCCACATTCAGATGGAGGATTGCGTGATGCAAAACCCACATTTGCATGGATGCAGCTTGTAGTGTGGTCTGGGAATGGTTGGGATTAGGCTGAGACAATTTAGCTGTTGTTATTTTTGTCTGAATTTGGATCCCCCTAATTCTATTTACATTGTATCTTTTGTTTTGTAACCTCCTTAATAAAATATTTGCCTTTAATCCATGTGTGGCTTCTAGCAGTAAACCTCTGGCTCTTAGTCTGGTACCTCAATAGTTTGGTCATACACCACTCCTCAACTTGCGGCTCAAAGAACAGTGAGTACACCTGCAGGTGGATAATGAATGCTTATTCAATACTTAATCTCTTTTGAATTAGCAAACAATGCAACCCTACCTGGTTAAACCAACTGTGCCATGTGATGGCATCTTCATCAAGGAGTAATGATTGGTCTGGAGGAGCCTGTGGATCTATCCTCCCAACTCTCACTCGGTGCAAACTTTGGTTGGCGAATATGATCCAATTGATAATATCCAAGCTAGATGCTGCCTCTCCATTCTGGTTGATGAAGACCACATCTCCTGCCGTATTGTTAAATGAGATATTTCTCAGAAAGTGATGGAGCTAGATTGAAAACAGAAAAGACAGGGGTTTGGAAAAGACTGCAGTCTAATGCAGGGTGGAGCACCCCCCCCATGGGCAGAACCTAGAGCAAGTGGTGGGGGGTGGTTCAGTCACCTCTCAGTGGATTCAGGTCGAATCAAGGAGAGAGCCAATAGGTTTTCTTTCACACACATGCCTCTTTCTCAGACTTTCTTACAACCCTTCATTTGTTGTTGTTTAGTCTTTTAGTCGTGTCCGACTCTTCGTGACCCCATGGACCAGAGCACGCCAGGCACTCCTATCTTCCACTGCCTCCCGCAGTTTGGTCAGACTCATGTTTGTAGCTTCAAGAACGCTGTCTAACCATCTTGTCCTCTGTCGTTCCCTTCTTCTTGTGCCCTCAATATTTCCCAACACCAGGGTCTTTTCCAGGGAGTCTTCTCTTCTCATGAGGTGGCCAAAGTATTGGAGCCTCAGCTTCACGATCTGTCCTTCCAGTGAGCACTCAGGGCTGATTTCCTTAAGAATGGGTACATTTGATCTTCTTGCAGTCCATGGGACTCTCAAGATTCTCCTCCACCACCACCGTTCAAAAGCATCAATTCTTCGGTGATCAGCCTTCTTTATGGTCCGGCTCTCACTTCCATACATTACTACTGGGAAAACCATGGCTTTTACTATACGGACCTTTGTTGGCAAGGTGATGTCTCTGCTGATCTCTCTAAACCATTCCACTGCTTCCTATCTGTAAATGCAGTGGCATCTCAGTAGGCTGCAAAGCTTCCCTCATAAAAATGTTTTCTCCTCAAATGCAGGGCAATAGCTGCTCAGAGATCCAGAATGAAACAGGTTTGACGGTGGTTAAGTAGGTGAAATATTTAGGGGTTCACATGACATCTAAGAATTTGAATTTGTTTAAAGACAATTATGAGAAATGTTGGTCAGAAGTTAAAAAGGATCTGGAAATATGGTCAAATTTGAAGCTTTCAATGTTGGGCCGAATTGCAGCTATAAAGATGAATGTATTGCCTAGAATGTTATTTTTGTTTCAAACATTGCAAATTCTTGACAAGATGGACTGTTTCAAGAGGTGGCAGAAGGATATTTCGAAATTTGTCTGGCAGGGCAAAAAGTCCAGAATAAAATTTAAGATATTAACGGATGCAAAGGAAAGAGGGGGATTTGCCCTGCCGGACTTAAAATTGTACTATGAATCAGCAGCGTTCTGCTGGATGAAAGAGTGGATGCTCCTCGAGAATACAGATATCTTGGATTTAGAAGGTTTCAATAATGCATTTGGATGGCATGCATATTTATGGTATGATAAAGTTAAGGTGCATAAGGCCTTTAAAAATCACATTGTTAGAAAAGCACTATATAATGTTTGGACTAGATATAAAGACTTGTTGGAAAACAAAACTTCTAGATGGTTGTCGCCTTTGGAGGCTAAAGCTGTGAAAAAACTCAATATGGAGGCCAAGTGGCCAAAGTATTGGGAAATTTTGGAACAAGAAGGTGATAAATTGAAACTACAGAGTCATGAGAAATTGAAAACTAAAGTACGAGATTGGCTCCATTATTTTCAAATAATGGAGGTTTATAAACAAGACAGGAAAATTGGCTTCCAGGTGGAGAAATCAAAATTAGAAACAGAACTGCTAGAACCCAATGCTAAGAATTTGTCAAGAATGTATAACTTGTTGCTGAAATGGAATACACAAGATGAAACAGTTAAATCAGCGATGATTAAGTGGGCACAGGACATTGGTCATAACATTATGTTTGCTGACTGGGAATGGTTGTGGACTACTGGTATAAAATTTACGGCATGTAATGCCTTGAAGGAAAATATTATGAAAATGATCTATAGGTGGTACATGACCCCAGTCAAGCTAGCAAAAATTTATCATTTGCCTGACAGTAAGTGTTGGAAGTGTAAAGAAACTGAAGGTACTTTTTACCACCTTTGGTGGACGTGCCCGAAGATTAAGGCTTTCTGGGAAATGATATATAATGAAATGAAAAAGGTACTTAAATGTACTTTCCCTAAGAAACCAGAGGCCTTTCTCTTGGGCATTGTCGGCCAATTGGTGTCAAAGAAAGACAGAACCTTTTTTATGTATGCTACCACAGCAGCAAGAATACTCATCGCGAAGCATTGGAAGACTCAAGATCTACCCACTCTGAAAGAATGGCAGATGAAGGTGATAGACTATATGACATTGGCTGAAATGACCGGCAGAATCCGTGATCAGGGGAAAGAGACGGCGGATGAAGATTGGAAGAAATTTAAAATTTATCTCAAGAGATATTACAAAATTGATGAATGTTAAAATGTTGAGGTTTTTAGAAAGATAAGGAGATTACAGCGACAAAAGATTAAGTAAAAGAAAAGAATAAATAAGGGACAATTTTGATAAAATTAAGTTTAGGATTTGCTGAAATAATTTTGGAAATTGGGATGTAGAAAGGGGAGGTTTGGGGGAGTCAGAGAAGTGAGGTTTATGAAAAAAGGATATGAAATTATACATGTTTGTCTGTTTCTTTATTTGTTTGTAGTGTCTATAAATTTTTTTGTAAAACCAATAAAAAATATTTTTTTTTTTTAAAAAAATAGCTGCTCAGAGAAGGACGCAGCCATCACTTCCCTTTCCTATAGGGTCTACCGCCATTTGCAAGCAGAACAATATGTGGGGAATTATCTAGGATATCATATTCGTACCATCTCCTGTTCTGCCTGCAGAGTTATAAATTCAGTTCTGGGTTCTTCTTCCTAATTTGTTGTTGTTGTTTAGTCGTTTCGTCGTGTCCGACTCTTCGTGACCCCATGGACCAGAGCACGCCAGGCACGTCTTTCTTCCACTGCCTTCCGCAGTTTGGTCACACTCATGCTGGTAGCTTCGAGAACACTATCCAACCATCTTGCCCTCTGTCGTCCCCTTCTCCTTTTGCTCTCCATCTTTCCCAACATCAGGGTCTTCTCCAGGGAGTCTTCTCTTCTCATGAGGTGGCCAAAGTACTGGAGCCTCAGCTTCACGATCTGTCCTTCCAGTGAGAACTCAGGGCTGATTTCCTTCAGAATGGATCGGTTTGATCTTCTTGCAGTCCATGGGACTCTCAAGAGTCTCCTCCAGCACCATAATTCACCATAATTCAAATTCACCATAATTCAAAAGCATCAATTCTTGGGCGATCAGCCTTTTTTATGGTCCAGCTTTCACTTCCATAGATCACTACTGGGAAAACCATAGTTTTTACTATACGGACCTTTGTTGGCAAGGTGATGTCTCTACTTTTTAAGATGCTGTCTTCTTCCTAGTTGTTGTTGTTTAGTCGTTTAGTAGTGTCCGACTCTTCGTGACCCCATGGACCAGAGCACGCCAGGCTTCTTCCTAATACACTACCACAAATGTTTGAACTCTGAGAGGAAAGATCAAGCTGAAAGCATTTTGGGAACGCAAAAAGTGTCAGGAAGTAACAGGGCTTTGCCAATTGAGAATGTTCAGCTTTTACCTGCCAAGGCTGTTGATTTGGATTCTTCCCTCTCACTCGGAATGCCATTCCTCTGTGCCTGAGTCTGGAAGACATGGCATGTAAAGCATGGGCCACGGCGTAGGCAGCACTGTGGATGCTGTAACTGTGGCCTGTCATGCTCATTTCAAAAAGTGATCCGGGAAGGCTCTCCAGCTTCTCTTCTCCGGTGCAAATATTCCCCTCTGTCTTCTCTGCAGTGATATCTGGGAGTACACATTCAAAGGCCTGTTGCCAGAATTCCCTGATAAAACCATCCCCATCTGTGCTGGAAGGGTTTCTTTGCACAACATACTGATGAAATCCTGGTGGGTTTCCGAAGCGAATTTCAAAGGATATAGCTCCATTGAATACTCTTGAATCCCAAATACTTTGAAAGACAAATGAAGCAAACTCAACCTGGGCTGATATTATCCATACTTTACTTTTTACATTATTTTTTATGTCATCGTGTTCTGATAGGTTTGGCAGCCATCTAAAAGTTGTCATGGAGTAAGATTCTCCAGAGGCAACCACTACATTAGCTTTGCTGCTAAAAATTTCCTCGTTTATCTTTGTCCCCTGACGTAGCATCCCAGCAACTTCAGAAATAAAACTAAAATTGGGGATTCTTTCTATGAATGCAAAGCAGACACCACTCTTGGTAAACATTTGGGAAATGGTTTGCACAAATCTTTCTCCATTGTCATTGTCTGTTGCAATGACTCCAATCCACGTCCACCTGAAATGCAGAAGCAAAGAGAGAATTCCCTTATACTGAAGGGCTTCTGAGGCTGCCATCTGGTAGAAGGGAAGCCCTGGGCTTTTATCATTCATCACTGGAGCAGAGCCATAAATGAGCTATAGAGGGAATGGAGGAAGAGAAGAGATAAAGTAATATTTGCAGAGTTCTTTCAAACTTTTCATATACATCATGTGATGAATCCTGTTAGTCAGATATGCCTTTTGCCACCCACGAGGGGTTGCATTCCTTTCTCATTTATACTAAAGACACACTATTACTGTTCTTCTGCAGAACTGGACTGTATCTGCAATTTGCCATACCTCCAGAGTATCTTTAATTTGAAAACCCTTTTGCCCCTAAACATTCAGTGGCCTTTGGGATATCAGTGTCCTTGAGGTGTGTGTAAGAGATTGGGGGTGTGACATATTTTTTCTGGTATTGCAGCGTTTCTTTCCCCTTATTCAGGTAATTTTATCTTATTTTAATTCTGTACCTTCTGTATTTTCCAAGGAACTGGTTCTGCTCCAGATTTCATTCTCACCCTGAATTGGTGATACACCCTGAACTGGTGCTATTAATTCAGCCTCTTTCTCTATGCAAGCTAATAGAGGTATTATACATAGGTGTCCTACCTGTGGAATCTTAAAGATATCCAAAACAGTTGCTACATAAAAGGAGATTTCAGAATCAAGTCCCCCAATGACCCCTGCCAGATTATTTTCAACATCACATATATAGTTTGGGACAAATTTCTCCACCATGGATAAAAGCAGCAGTGTGGCGAGATATGTGCTCCTTGCATTGTTATAGCTGTCATACAAGTGAAAGCCCAAGGTGATATTGGGTAAGATGTGAGGGTCTTCATTGATCTCCTTGACTGCAAATGCCAAGGCCACGATGTGCTGGTAAAGCTTAGGCACCACCCTAGAATGAGAGTTGCAAATAGCATCAAGAGGAACTGATATATCCTTTTACATTTCAACACAGTTGCTATTCATTTTGCATTCAGTTGAGTTAATTACATGTCTATTCCATTGCTGAACAGTTATTATAATCAGCAAGTTCTTCCAGATTTTTAGAAAACAAGCTTGCTCCATTTTCCTGGTGACAGGCCTTGAGATACTTGAGAATAGCTATCCTACTTCCCCTCAGTCTTCCATTTTCATAGCTAAAAATTCCCAACCCCCTCAATGTTCCCTCACAAGGTTTGGTTTCCAGACACTTGTTCATATTTGTCACCTTCCTCAGCACACGTTGAAGCTTGTCAATATCCTTCTTAAATAGTGCTGAACAACTGAACAAAATACACCAGGTGTGGTCTGAGCATGGCAGAATAGCGCTTCTCTATTACTTCTTTTGATTGGCTCACTATACTTCGGTTGATGCAGACTTCTTGATCCTTTTCACATGTGCTACTGGCATGCCAGGTTTTCTATATCTTAGATTTGTGGAGCTGATATTTCCTGCCTAAGTGCAGAACCCGCCATTTGTCCCGACTGAAGTTCATTTTGTTACTTTTGCCACAGTTCTCCAATCTGTAAAGGCCAATGGTATCTAGACCAGGGGTTGCTAATGTGGTGCCCATTGGAACATTGGAACCCCTGAGGTCTTTCCCTGAAACATCTGAAGTCTTTCCCGGACATTTACAGTATTTCTCAGTTCTGTCATGCAATGACAGCTTCCTTGTTCATGAGGCAGTGATAGTGGTTGTAATTCACAGATTTCTATACTTCATAATATATACTATCATTCTGAGACAAATCTTAGACTATGATCAGAAAATGAAATGATCTGGGCATTTTGGTTCAGAACAGGTTTTTTTTTAATTGATTCTCACTTACACTCCTGTTCAGATAAAGTCTATCAAAAACGGCTGTTCAAAAGGGCTATCTCAGACATACAAATATATACACATTTCAATACATTTATATTCATTTCCCTATTGAGAAATGGGAGCTTCTACAGTATTCTTTTAATTCACACAAGATTCTTATGGATTATACATCAGCATATGTCCCACTGAAATGAAAAGTGGTTATCCCTAGGTAAATGGGTATAAGTTTGCAACCTCAGTCATTATTCTGAGGCTGAAACTCAGTTTGATCATTCCTGTGCTGTAATAAACGAGTGGCTTAGTTCTTACAGAAGTTCTTCAGGCAGCGTTGGTGAGGGTTCCTCAGTGAATGTTGCTGGAGAAGAGAAGAAGCCACCATGGGTAACAATGCCACCAATGAGGAACTCTCCTGGCTGATGATACATGTGAATTGGACGGTGTGGACTTTGGAGCCTGCATTTTGCTATGTGAGCCAGACATACATTGTAAGAAATCAGTTCCAGCAGCAAGAATACTAAAACCAGCATTCTCAATACAAAGGCAAGTGGTTGTTCTATGCAAAAACTACATTTTATCTTCTCCAAGATAAAAATTGTCTTATTTAAATGGTAGTTTATTTCCCTGAGACGATGCAATGTCGGACTATCTAAAATCAGACTTGCGGTTCACAAGTCTGATTAGTTCTGATTAATTTTAATATACTTTGCATTAGGTTTACCAGTGGCCACTGTAAGTCCCCACTGTTTTTTGAGAAGCAGCCGCACAAATTATAGCCCTGTTAATGATCAAGAAGCAATGTAATTATTCATTCAGTGCTTAGAATTCCCTCTGGAATTGTTGAAGAAAATGTGTTTGTCACATATTCAGAACTGTTATTTTTATTACCCTTTCAGTTGATAATAAGGGACCACTGTTGGATTGGGGAACCAATGTAACCAATGTAGTTTCCAAAATGTGTAGTCAGCATCCTGGAATTAGGTCCCTCTCTGGTCTATGAGTCTAGGATACATGATCCACTGCTTCCCTTAATCAGAGTACTTTGTCAGGGGAAAATCCAGGGAGAAGAGCTAATGGGCTCCTCTGTTGGCTTTGGGGAACAGTTTTGTGAAATAGACTTGTTCATGCTTTAATTCTTTCTTATAATAAGCTTTCCCCGGCTGTTTAACTCGGGCCTCACCAAAACAATATAACATTTGGGGAAGAAGATGCAGCCCAGTAATCCAAAACTAGAGGCCCAAATAGAAAAGATCTCCACAGCCACCATGTACTTTCCCTTGGTACTCAGGTAGGTAGGAACAAAGGACAGCCACACACTGCAAAAGACCAACATGCTGAAGGTGATGAACTTGGCTTCATTAAAACTGTCTGGTAACTTCCTAGCTAGGAAAGCCACAGTGAAACTGACCATGGCCAGCATTCCCATGAAGCCTAGGACACAGTAGAACATGGTGACTGATCCTTCGTTACATTGCAGTACAATTTCTTTAGTCCCTGAGTGCTTGTCTAATTCAGGGAGTGGGGGAGCAACTACAAATCATCACTTGAATGAGGAAGCTGAAAAGAACAATGGAGATGGCCAGATTTCCCCCCACCCATCTCCTCATTCTGGAGCCTGGCTTGGTAGCCATGAAAGCTAGAACCACTATAGCTGTTTTTGCTAAGATGCAAGACACTGCTACTGAGAAGATCACTGCAAAAGCAGTTTGTCGAAGGAGGCAGGTTATTCTTATGGGCTGGCCAATGAATAGGACAAAGGAAGGAGAGAATGAGGGCTAGGAGGAGAACATAGGTGAGGGTCCGATTGTTGGCTTTGACTATGGGAGTTTCTTTGTGCTTGATGAAGATCCTAAGCACCAAAGCTGTAATGAAGGTCAATAAAAGAGCAAAAGTGACCAAACTGATCCCCAAAGGTTCACCGTGAGACAGGAAGCTTATATCTTTTGGAAGACATATATCCTGGCCAATGTTTGGGTACTGATCTTCAGGACATTGAACACAGTCATCCATGTCTGGAAAAAGAAATAAAGAAAACATATTCATTGTACACTCTTAAGAGTTAGTGGTGGTAGGAGGGAAGGTTTCCACAGTCCTTTTGCTTTATATCCTACTTTTCTACTTGACTCATCAAAGTGTCTGTTGGCACACACAGGCTAGACCCCGCTGCCCCCACCCTGTATCCCCCACAACTGACCATTCCTGACTCAATGTCTTATCTGTGGAAATAATGGAAATAACTGTGTACTTTACAGACTATTTCAGTAGTTGGAATCAAATTAAATCTCAGCAGACTAGAATTGGTGGTTCCACACTTTCTGAATCTGCAGCTGTTACTCAGCTCATTTTAATGGTGAATCTATGTGCATGGTAAAGGTGATCAGCTGTGGAGTGGAATAGAAGAAAGATTTTGACAAGAAAGTTCTGGCTCATGGTATAAGCAGACCAAAACATTTGTTTTAATGATAGAAAGGCTCTGTTTCCTGGGCCTGGTGCTTGGTGCTTTAGCTGAGATGAGAGCATGTACAGATAAAAGAATTCAAGACTCATTAGCAGCTCTGATTGAAAGCTGTAGTTTGAAAAGGGCTCACTATATTTACAGAATATTGAGAAATAGCCACATAGGGAACTATCTTCTTCCAGATCATTGGTCAAGTGATGGAATGAACCCTGAATAGTGCAGAGAACCCACCTGGTTAAATTGGTTGGGCCATACAATAGCATCCTCATGAATGGTGAATGATTTCTCCTGGGTACCCAGGGAGTCTATCTTCCCAATTTTGACTCTAAGAAAGGACAGATTTGGAAACGTGAGCCAGTTTATAATGTCAAAGCCAGCAATTAATTCACCATTTGGGTCAAAATGCACATTTTCTCCTGCACTGTTGTTAAATGAAATACTTCTGAGAATGTGATGGAGCTAAATAATGAAAATAAGAAGGAAGATACATATAAAAGTTCAAACTATGCTATCATAAAATGTGGTAAAAATACATGCAACAGGAAGGCTTGGGATTACGATCTCTTGAAAGCTTTGTGCAAGCTAATGTTAGAAATAGGAAAAGGTCACCTAAAATCCTACATCATGGAATATTGGCCACAACTGCACCACTACTTTAACTTCCACTGTTTTGGCTTACACTAAAGAACCTTGCACACTGTAGGCTTATCAAGAGAGTTTTAGGTCTTTCTATCAAAATACCTCTACTACCTTTAGACTGCAGTGTCCATGATTTAAGTCTGTGGTATGGATGCAACTATTATGGGGTGAGATATCATGGCTGGCAATGCTACTGATGGCAGTCCTGTTGCTGTTTCTAGTATGGGCAAACTAGCAAGAAAATGAGGAGTTATGCCCTCCTCTACTTTTTCCAGTAAGGCACCTGGGGAAGGGCTTTGGTTTAGCGGTAGAGTACATGCTTGAATGCAGAAGGTTCCAGGTTCAATTCCAGGCTTCTCCAAGTAGGCCTGGGAAAGGGTTTTGCCTGAAATCCTGGGGGGTTTCTGTCAGTCATTGTAGACAATACTGATCTACATGGGCCAGTGGTCTGTACTTGATATAAGAGTTTTCTATGCAATGACAGAAATGCTTAAGACTTTTTTGATATCCTAACCCCAATGTGGTTGTTTTTTAAAAAACAAAATCTTTTTTTTAAAAAACCTCACTCTACGCTAATAAATCCCAGAGTGAATTGCAATACACAATCAGACCTAAATTATATAGCTGAATAAAACAATAAAAGGCCAACAACTTGTTAATCTCATAAAAGGTTGAGAGAGCCTGCCCATCCCCCCAAAAATATATGTAGCACCCTGCTTGTGGTTAACGCTTAGCTGGAATGAAACATTCAACGCAGCAATAGAGAAATTAAAATAATAATTTATTTGTCAGACAAATAAATGAGAGACACAGTGGTATATGGATACCAAAGCTCTGCCCACTCCAGCCCTGATGGCCAGCACTTATATTTCCTCAGCCCAGCCCCCTTGCTCCTCCTTTGGCTGCCTCTGTCCAATCAGCCTGGTTGAAATTCCTATTGGCTGTTTGCTAGAACCAATCATAAAAGATACACCCATTTCCTATTACCTTTTATGGGAGACAAAGAGCCATATTTCCTTCTATCCATAAATGGCAGACAAGTAGCCATATATCTTACATTTGCGTTGACAAGGCACCTTAATTACCAGATCATCTTTGCCCTATTGCCCTATTCACTCCAAAACAGATGTCTAAAACAGATGGCTCATGGTAACAGAGATCTTGGGTTCACATTCTCACACACCATCAATGAAATAAGAATCTAACATAAGAATCTAACATTTCTTACTTTCTAAATCCTTTGCATAATTACATTTAGCCAATAAATTTCATACATTAACATATATAGCTTTTTAGAAGAAAAGGAACTTAGTAAAAAGGAAACAGCTTCAAAACAGCTTCAAACCTCTTCAATTTACAACCCCTCTTTCCCCAGCCAGCTGCTGTTCCTATTAGCTCTTGCCCTTTCACCTTATGAAAATATGGCTCGAGTCTTCTGTTAAACAATAAAACTTACTATTTACCAACTCTTAATTGTGTTTTTGCAGCTTGATTGTATTCTGTAATATGTAGGGTCACTGTAACCTTTGCTCCCAGCCTGTAATTTCCTTTTACAACTTTGAGAAACGTGTCTCCTGCTACTGCTATAAATCAGAGGGGCCTCTGAGCAGGAAGACAAACATCTGCCAATGTACTTAGCCAGCTGCTTTTCTGCCTGGCATGAAAGATACAAACATTTACAAATATATTTTTTAAGCTCATTTTAAAATACAAGCCTTGATCAGATGCCTCATATATATATGGAGGTATCTTCAGGACATTACTTGCCACAGTTGTTGATTTGCAAGCTGCCATCTTACTCCCTTTGCCATTCCCCTTTTCTTGACTTGGGATGAATGTCTGATGTGCAAAGCATGTGCCACTGCATAGACTGCATTGTAGATGTTGTAGCTATGGGCAGTCATTTTCATTTCAAAAACAGACACAGGAAGTGCCTCCATCTTCTCCTCCCCAGTGCAAATTTGCCTACCTATATTATCTGTAACAGAACTGGAGAATGAACAGTTAAATGACTCTTCCCAGAAGTCTTTGATAAAACCATCTTCTTTTTCTGTGGTTGGGTTGTTGATCTGAAGGAACTTCTGGAATGCTAACAGAGTGAAGGGAAAGGGAAAGAGAACCATGAAGGAAACTTATGTCCCAATTTCTTTGAAATGGAAATCATAGAATCATAGAATCATAGAGTTGCAAGAGACCACAAGGGCCATCGAGTCCAATCCCCTGCCAAGCAGGAAACACCATCAGAGCACTCCTGGCATATGGTTGTCAAGCCTCTGCTTAAAGACCTCCAAAGAAGGAGACTCCACCACACTCCTTGGCAGCAAATTCCACTGTCGAACAGCTCTTACTGTCAGGAAGTTCTTCCTAATGTTTAGGTGGAATCTTCTTTCTTGTCGTTTGGATCCATTGCTCCGTGTCCCCTTCTCTGGAGCAGCAGAAAACAACCTTTCTCCCTCCTCTATATGACATCCTTTTATATATTTGAACATGGCTATCATATCACCCCTTAACCTCCTCTTCTCCAGGCTAAACATGCCCAGCTCCCTTAGCCGTTCCTCATAAGGCATTGTTTCCAGGCCTTTGACCATTTTGGTTGCCCTCCTCTGGACACGTTCCAGTTTGTCAGTGTCCTTCTTGAACTGTGGTGCCCAGAACTGGACACAGTACTCCAGGTGAGGTCTGACCAGAGCAGAATACAGTGGCACTATTACTTCCCTTGATGTGATATCCATGTGGGCTGTCAGGAACCAGAATTTACCCTTGTTTCTTATTGGTATATGCTCAAATTTTACAACCTGGGGCATCATTTTCATTACCATCATTGTCTGAATTTCTCCATGCACAACCACAACATTCATAGTGCTTCCCATAATAACACTGACACCGTGAAAGCCCTCCCCCACCATGTCCGTGACACCACTGGAAGATGTTAGCTTAGGTAAAGTTTCTATGAAGTCAAAGCAGATGCCACTCTGGGAAAACAGTGGAAGTACATTCTCTATAAAACCTTCTGTATTTTCATCAGCCTCAGAAACCACTCCAATCCACATCCACTGGAAATGCAGCAGTAACTTGATGATTCCTCTATATTGATGGTCCCCATTTGGAAACATCTGGTGGAAGAAAACTCCTTGAGATTGTTTATTCATGACTGGTGAAGAACCATATATGACCTAAAGGTTTTAAAGAAGAAGTGAGAGAGGAAAAGTTTTTATCAATATAAAACATTTGTTTGTGTGTATTTGTGTTCTCTGTGAATTTTTAGTGAGAGGCTTGCCATATTGTGGTGATTATACTCAAACATCATCAGAAACCCAATCCATTCTTCAATGTTTATATTAGGAGGCATTAATGTGAATGAAGGACAATCGCTTCTATCAGTGGGAGGCAATATAACATAAACGTATGGCTGAACCACTACCATAATACTGCAGAGATGAGTAGATTCAATCCTGTAGCATACTTTTTTGCCAGTACATTCCCTGGAGGGAACATATTTTATTTGAGTTGTGATTTCTAAGTAATATTTACATTTGCTTTGCAAACAACAAAACTGACCTCAAAACTGCTCACAATAATGACAGCATTAATTTTTTAAAAAAATATTGCAATCACTATTTCAGTGCAAACTCAAGTGATTCAAAATCTCAGAACTAGTTGCTTAGCAGACCCCTGAACTCTGCAGGAGTGAATTCTCCAGTGATGAGTAGATGATACCATGATACCATCATGCTAGTCTCCCTATTCTGTTCATTTCCGACAGGGACCATGCTGGTTAAGTAGACCCTACAGACTGCAGGATTAAATTTCTCCTAAAATACAAAACCTGGATGCAAATTTTACCTAACATGCACATTTCTGCAAAGCAATTTCATGAATACAATGCATTTGAAGGATATTTTTACAAATGTGAATTTTTTATGCACACTTTACCTTAATCTGTGCTTTTTTGGACACATTATTTGACTGGAGAACTGCTTTGCAAAATCAAGAGAAGTGGGAATTTCAAAGAATAGCTGCATTGCATGTATTGCTTCTGAAAGCGTGAATTCAGTGAAATTGAGGTGTGAATGTATTTAGATCTTACTTGCGGTATCTTGTAGGTAGACAGGATGGGTGTCATGTGAAGACAGACATTAGAGTTAGGTCCCCCAATGACTGCTATTGGAGTGCTCTCAGCATCACATTTATAGTTAGGGATGGCCTTGGCCCTTCTTGAGAGAAGCTCCATTGAGGCTTCATAGGTCCAGCTTGCACTGAAATGGCTGTTATAAATGTGGAAGCCCAGGGTGATGTTGGGCAAGATCTGGGGAGTTTCATTGATCTCCTTTACAGCAAATGCCAAGGCCAGGATGTGCTGGTAGAGGTGAGTCAGCACCCTGTATTGAGAGTTACATGCTGCATCAAGGTTCATCTGCTTCAGACCATAACATAGACCGCTTTTCAATTCAGTATCAGTTCAGATATTGTACAAAAACAGGTTGTAATCTAACATTTCACAGGCGTGTAAAAGTAAACTGGCTCATGAATCTATGATGTCTCTTAAAACCATCTCAACTTCCAGGACTTCTTAGAGAGTCTCTTAGTATATCTATAGAAGACATAATTCAATAAGGTGTTTTTATTTATTCTGGCCTCTAGGGAATCTGGATGAGGTGTTTTGTTTGTTTAATATCTGCTGGTCAAAAGTTACTTGTAGTCTGCATGTTCTTCATTCACACAGAATACACAGCCTAATAAGCAAATACCAATGTAGCATTTTTGTTTGGGTTTTTCTAAGAATGGGTTAAAAATTATGTAGGCTCACAGCAGCCACTATGGAGAAATTATCTTCATGCTCTAGTTTTAAGTATACCCTGTGGGTGTGTTTACTTTCTAATGTAAAATATGTTTCAAGCCTGTTTTGATGCCATGTGGATGTCTGCGCGCAAGACTCGACATCTGTATAAGCATTTGTTCTGGAAGCCAATATTTATCCTTGGTAAATGTTTTAAAAAATTAAATAAAGCTTGTAATAGAAAATGAGTATTTGAAATGGGTAAATCAAAATATGAATTTAAATTCTTCGACTGACCTGTATAGACTAATGTGTGACCTAGCCAGCATTGCTATGAGTAGGAAAATCACTCCCTGTCTATTCTTCAAATGATTATTATCCCCAGCAGTGAACGTGCTTTCTTAATCAACTGCTTAGGCTTTAGTAAAGGGGGAAGGCTAAAAAATAATAATGGTTGAACTTGGCTAATGGTTTAGCAGTTTTGACTGCTGTGTTCTGTGAAATACAGTAAATCTTGCAAGATAAAATCTGATTTATTCCTTCACTAATTTGAGTAAGCAATGCCAATTAGTCAGGATATGCCTTCATTTCACAGCAAATAAATGTATTTTACAAAGTGAAATGGAGAGAGCAGTGGGGCATAAGCTGATGTAAAATCTATAAGAATCTCGTGTGAATTAAAAGAATACTGTAGAAGCTCCCATTTCTCAATAGGGAAATGAATATACCAGTAAATGTATTGAAGTGTGTGTGTGTGTGTGTGTGTGTGTGTGAGAGAGAGAGAGAGAGAGCCATTTTGAACAGCTGATTTTGATAGACTTTATCTGAACAGGAGTGTTACTGAGAATGCATTAAAAAACTTGTTCTGAATCTAAATGCTCATATGGTTTCATTTCCTGGTCTTAGGCTAAAATTTGTTTCACAATGATGGCATATAATATGAAGTATAGAATTCTGTGAATTACAACCACCATCTCTGCCTCATGAGTAAGGAAGGGGTCATTACAGGAGAGAGCTCAGAAACTTTTTAAACGTTAGGAAAAGACTTCAGATGTTTCAGGGAAAGACCCCAGGGGTTCCAATGTTCCTATGGGCACCACATTAGCAACCCCTGGTCTAGATACCATTGGCCTTAATAGAATAGAGAACTTGGACAAAAAAACAAATTGCATTTCTATAGGAACAAATGTCAGGTTCTGCACTTAGGCAGGAAATACCAGCTGTACAAATATAAGATGGAGAACACCTGGATTGCCAGTGCTATGTCTGAAAAGGATCAAGGAGTCAACAGAAGTATAGTGCCAGAATCAAAAGAAGTAATAGAACAGCTCTATTCTGCCATGATCAAACCACACCTGGAGTACTGTGTTCAGTTATGTTCAGGATATGGACAAGCTGCAACATATGCGGAGGAGGGTGACATGTATTATCAAGGGTCTGGAAGCCAAAACTTATGAGGGAACATTGAGGGGGTTGAGTATGTTTAGCTATGAAAATAGAAGACTGAGGTGATGTAGGATAGCCATTTTCAAATATCTCAACGGCTGTCACCAGGAAATTGGAGCAAGCTTGTTTTCTCTTGCTCCAGAGGGTAGGACCAGAATCAATAGATTCAGAGTTCAAGATAAGAGATTCTGTTGTAAACATCAGGAAGAACTTGCTGATTATAAGATTGTTCAGCAATAGAATGGACTGGGAGTTAACTCCACTGAAGTCGATATGATTAACTACTGTGTTGATATGTAAAGGATATATCAGTTCCTTCTGATATTGTTTGCAACTCTTCTTCTAGGGTGGTGCCTAAGGGTTACCAGCACATCTTGACCTTGGCATTTGCTGTAAAGGAGATCAATGAAGACCTCACATCCTACCCAATATCACCTTGGGCTTTCACTTATATGACTGCTATAACAATGCAAGAAACACATATTTTGCGACACTGCTGCTTTTATCCAGGGTGGAGAAATTTGTTCCTAACTATATATGTGATGTTGAAAATAATCTGGCTGGGGTCATAGGAGGACTTGATTCTGAAATCTCCTTTTATATGGCAACTGTTTTGGATATCTATAAGATTGCGCAGGTAGGGCACCCATGTACAATGTCTCTCTTAGCTTGCATAGAGAAAGAGGCTGAATTCACAACACTAGTTTCAGGGTGTATCACCAGCTCAGGGCAAGGGTGAAATTGTAAGCAGAACCATATGCACCACCTTCAGAATCCTTGGGAAAATAAAGGTGGTACAGAATTAATATACATAAAATAACCTGAATGAGGGGAAAGAAATTCTGCAATAGCAGAAAAAAAATATGTCACCCCCTCAATCTCTTACACACATCTCAAGGAATTCCCAAAGGCCAATGATGGGAGACTGGGTTTCTTCATCACCAGCCATGACACCATACCCAATATGTGAATGTTTAGGGCGAAAGACTTTCAAATTAAACACACTCTGAAGGTATGACAAATTGCAGATATAATCCACTTATGCAGGAGAACAGTAACAGTACTGAGAAACTGGTCCCACAGTGAAATAATTGTTCATAAATAATGTCTGAGGAGGTTTGAAATAGAAGAGGCAGAAATGGTAGTTCTGCTGTGTGTTGGGGTATGAGCATTGTGAAGATGAAAGAACCTAGAGAGAAGAAATGTGCATTCAACCCAAGTTGCAATTATGACATGGCTACAGTAAATAATGTCCAATGCAGGGGTAGGCAATCCTCTGTTTGGGGTCCCTATACTCAGTTTTGGTCCATCGTAGAAGACGCTGCCAAATTCTGCAGGGTATAAAATAAAATTGGAACATTGCCCCTCTCTGGTCAACAGAACAAATGCTTAACAAACTGGAATGGGAGATGACCCCAATTTTCAGCCCATCTGCATGTGTGTCTTTAGTATAAATGAGAAAGGAATGCAACACCTGGTGGGTGGCAAAAGGCATATCTGACTAGCAGGATTCATCACATAATGTATAAGAATAGTTTGAAAGAACTCTGCAAATATTACTTTGTCTCTTCTCTTCCTCCATTCCCTGTTCAGCTCATTTATGGCTCTGCTCCAGTGATGAATGATAAAAGCCCAGGGCTTCCCTTCTACCAGATGGCAGCTACAGAAGCCCTTCAGTATGAGGGAATTCTCTCTTTGCTTCTGCATTTCAGGTGGACGTGGATTGGAATTATTGCAACAGACAATGACAATGGAGAAAGATTTGTGCAAACCATTTCCCCAATGTTTACCAAGAGTGGTGTCTGCTTTGAATTCATAGAAAGAATCCCCAATTTTAGTTTTATTTCTGAAATTCCAGGCATGCTAACACAGGGGGCAACAATAAACGAGAAAACTTTAGCAGCAAAGCTAACGTAGTGGTTGCCTCTGGAGAATCTTACTCCATGGCAACTTTGAGAGTGTTTTCATACTTTTCAGAACATGATGACAAGACAAAGAATGTAGAAAGTAAAGTATGGATAATATCAGCCCAGGTTGAGTTTGCTTCATTTGTCTTTCAAAGGAACTGGGATGCAGGAATATTCAATGGTGCTATAGCCTTTGAAATTCACATTAGAAACCCACCAGGATTTCATCAGTATGTTGTGCACAGAAACCCTTCCAGCACAGATGGGGACGGTTTTATCAGGGACTTCTGGCAACAGGCCTTTGAATGTGTATTCCCAGATATCACTTCAGACAAGGCGGAGGGGAATATTTGCACCGGAGAAGAGAAGCTGGAAAGCCTTCCCGGATCACTTTTTGAAATGAGCATGACAGGCCACAGTTTCAGCATCCACAGTGCTGTCTACGCCATGGCCCATGCTTTACATGCCATGTCCACATCTAGACTCAGACATAGAAGAATGACATACAAAGAGAAAGGGAAGAATCTGAATCAACAGTTTTGGCAGGTAAACGCTGAACATCCTCAACTGCGAAAGCCCTGTTACTTCCTGACACTCTATGGGTTTCCCAAAATCCTATCAGCTTGCTCTTTCCTCTCAGAGTTCAAACATTTGCGCAGGTGTATTAGGAAGAAACCCAGAACTGAATTTATAATTCTGCTGACAGAGTAGGAGGTGGCACGGATATGGTGGTATCCTAGATAATTCCCCACATATTGTGCTGCTGGCAAATAGCAGCAGACCCTATACAAAAGGGACATGGTGGTTGTGTCTTTCTGTGAGTAGGTACCGCCCTGTGTTTCAGGATAAAGTATTTGTATGATGGAAGCTTTGCAGCTAAATGAGATTCATATATAGCAGGCACGTCCAACAGGTAGATCATGACCTACCAGTAGCTCACTGGCCGTCTGTTGCAGATCACAGGTAGATCAGTGGCTCCCCTCCAATGCAGCTCAACAACTTTGGCTTCCCTAACAAAAGCTCAACATTTTTGGCCTGATCTGCCAAAAATGGTCCTTCCTCCCCCTCTAAAAATGCTCAACAACTTTGCCCTGAACCCTCCAAAAGGGGGTAGATCACTGCCAGTTTTTAATTCTGTGAGTAGATTGCAGTCTCATGGGAGTTGGCCACCCCTGATATATAGGAAGCAGTGGTAATGGTTGGGAGAGATGTTCAGCATTCCCTCTATCCCGTATCAACCAAATCCTTCCTTAGAACAGGTGGTTGCGCACCACTGCCATGTCTTCTGAGATTTTTCTGGGAGACCAGGGAGGGGGACAAACCTCTCTACTCATACATATTTAACTTGTGGGCATTCATAGGGAGAAGGGTTGTAAGAAAGATTGAGAGAGATACATCTGTATGAAAGAAAATGGGTTGGCTCTCTCCATGCTTGGGTCTGAATCGACTGACAATTAACTAAATCACCCTCACCATTTGCTGTAGGTTCTTTCCAGAGGGAAAAAAATGATCATCCCTGCATTAGACTGCAGTCTTTTCTATACCCCTTTC